TTTTCACCACGGGCGCTCGTTCGCCGGGTTGCGGGTTCTGGGGCCATCGCAGATCAATGCGGCTCCAGAAATCCAACCCCAAAATGGGGTGTGGGGCTCTGGTCGTGCTGTGATATGCTCGCGATGCTGCACGTTATGTTTCTCAGCGTCGGACGGTGCTTCGGTCCACCTGTGCCACCGCGGAGGCGCCCGCGTGGCGAGGAGCAACGCAAGTTCACGGGCAGCGTGTCGCAGAAATCACGGCGTCGGAGTTCTGGGGAGGGCAGAGGAGGAAATGTGTGGGCGCCTGAGAGGCCCTCGTCGCCGCGACTGCATTCGCTTCGAAGTTCGAGTCCGAATACACCCGAGGTCCAGGGAATATAGCAGTACACCACACAAGAACACAAACAAAACCAACCCTCCCCCTCATCTTCCAGGTCTTCCGCCCTAACATTCCGCCCCTTCTCCAATCTGATCTAATTACGTGGGTTTCTTTGGCTAAGGTCTCCATGAGTTTCGATGAATTCTTCCGCACCTTCCGCAAAGGTCGGAAGGTATGGAAGGTGGAGGTGAAGGGTACGGGGATCCCGTTTTATTCGGATATCGGACGATATATTTGTTCAATCCGCGTGTTTTGTTTTGATGTTGACCTCCTTGGGGCCCGTTTGCGGACCCCCGTGGTCATCAAAAGTGGATCCTGGGCAAAAAATTGGCTCCGCGGAAGGGGTCGGGACCTCTGGGGCCGCGCATTGAAGACAAAATCAGGGGCAACGTTGGGAACAACGTGCGCTGTCTGCTGGGTCCACCTGTGCCGCCCCACCGCTTTAAAATCTTGAGGAACAACTGCATAAACAGAATCGTTCGGAGGTCATCGCGGATTTCCTCAATCTGCGCTGGCCCCCCTGGACGGCGCCTCCAGCGCCGCCCCTGGCAAGCTCCGCGCGCCAGGGAGGGGGGTCAGCGACGATCCAAGAAGTCAGCGCGGAATTCCCGAAGGTCCCTAATCAGTGCTTGCACTGAAGGGGTCTTAGCGGATATTGAATGATTTGGCGAAATTTTCCCGCCGATTTTGGTAGCAGGTTGGGTTCCAAGGTTCCCGGTTCTGGGTTCCCAGGTTCCCGGCTATTGGTTCCGGGCCGATTTCGGTGGGTTCTTGGTTCCCGGGCTCCCAGGTTCCCGGTCGATCTCCTCAGCGAAAACCATCCATGGATTGAGGTTTTTCTTTGGTGTAATTTGCACTTCTTCCCTTCGAAGTCCCCTCCCTTGCGTCCGACCTGAGACTTGCGCTCGTGAGCCCCAGACGCAACGCTCCCGCCCCTGCCCACCGAAGCCTCCACCGCGCGCCTCCGACCTCTCTCGATCGACAGGCGATTGGGCTGCACAGAGGAATAACGAACGCCACAAACGTACATGACACCAGAGAAAAGCCCCAATCAGTGGATGGTTTCGGCGGGCAGGGGCGGGAGGCGGTGGGGCGGTACAGGCGGACGCCTTCAGTTCAAGCACGGATTGGGGAATGTGCTGCATGCAGCTGGTTGTGGCCCTCCGCCGACGGGCGCTTTCCTCGATACGCGGGCGCCTCTGGCTCCTGGAGGCGCCGAGAAAATCGGCTACGTGAGCTAATTCGCTTACCCCTCTTACTACATACACACAAACACACACACACACACACACACACACCTGGCGCGAACAAGGGGCCAACAAAACAATATCACTAACAACTTCAGGGGGGATAGGCTCAGGGTTGTTGTCCTCGTCGGGTTGTCTCCGGTGTGTGGTTTTATGTTTTCGTAGGTATTTGGAGGCTTTCCAGTCTCGGGATGCGGTTCAGCAGATGCGCATCGCCGAGAAGCGTCCGGAGGAGCCCAGGTCGTCCCCAAATTGCCGCCGGAGAGTTATGAGCGGAAAGCCAGAGGAAAAGGATCAGCCCCTGTCCAACAACGTTTAGAAACCAGCGCGAGCACGCCGACCTCATTGCGTCATGGAAAGCTGTGTCACCTCCAAGGGCACGAAGATGATCGCGCTTCGCACATCGCAGCCTGAGTTGGAGAGGCGCCCTTCTCCAGGGCGGCGGCGCGAAGGCGCGACGATAATCATCCGCACACCGCGGGTCGATAAATCCCAGCGGAAGATTTTTGTTGCCAGTGTTCGTCCCCGAGGGGCCGTTGCCAGGCCCTGGGGCCGCTCAAGAGTGTCTCGGGGTGAGAAGCGGGTCCCCAGGAAGAGGTCCATATTTTTCGGGGGGCATTCTGCGAATACAGTGCCACGTCCAGCCTGGCGTGAGAGCCAACAGCGACGGACCACATCTTTTTCCGCATGCTGTTCCCAAAATTGGGCGCATCTTCAGGCCAGCCACAACTGGGGGAGCTGTGGTCCTTACCCCCCTGGGAGACACATCGATTTCAACACCCCTCTCGAGAGATCGTCGATGCGGTGGGTTCCCCCAGGGGGGTAAGGACCACAGCTCCCCCAGTTGTGGCTGGGCGCATCCTGGGCAGAGATGTACCGATACGCCCGTAGCTACGGAATCACGCGCATGCCTTCAGCGAGCAAAGCAGCTACCGGGCCGCAGCACCATCCACAGACTTCATGCTTCTCTTCGCCTTCTGCTTCTACTCCTCCGGCTCCTTGTGCACCTAACTTTAAGTCGGGCCTGTCCCTCCACAGGGAGAATATTCAAAAATAGTCAAAAATAGTTTGGAGATTGTTTTTGAATATTTGTTGGCCATGTTGGAGTACGTTTCGAATATGTATTCTTTTCTCCGGAAATCCTCCTGTAGGGGGACACGCCCGATTTAAACCTAATTTTTGTTTCTCCTGTCGGTGCGGCTTCGTTGACACGATCTTCCAGGTTATTGCACACGTGGTTGCAGCCTCGACGGGAATGTCAACCACTTGGCGCGCAGCTTTTCGGCACCTGGAATGTTGGGTCGCCGTGGGGATTCATATGTCAAGTTGTCTGATACAACTGCATCAATGGTTGCCCATCGCAACGACGCTTTGGCCATAAACGATTTCGAATCTTACGATGATGGGTTCATGGCTTGTTAGTCTGGGAAGTTGGATCATGATCAACGTTCGGTAGCCGCGGTCGGCTTCATCGTGGCTCCCTGGGCCCGCTTTGCTATAGTAGCGTTCTTGGCGGTATCACAACGCTTGGCATCACTACGGATCAGAGTGCAGCATGTTATCTTGACTGTGTTTTCGGCCTGCATCCCGCAAAGCAAGTAAGATTACGAGGTCCTCCAATTTTTCTTCGCAGATTTACTAGGCACAGTACGACCTACGACACAACACAGCGCTACATTTCTACTGGGTGACTTCAACGCTAAACTACTCGAGCAACGCCCTAAGGAATCGCAATACACCGGTACACAGTTATTCTCTTGCACAGGGTGTCTAGAGCTCCGACCCCTTTGTTCCGCGTCGCACCCCCCCCCCCTCCGCGCCCCCAGCGCCAGAGTCGGACCCCCGCGCCGTGGCTCTCTGCACCGAGCCCCCCCGCGCCCCCAGCGCCCCAGCGGGAGCCCCGCCCGCTGCCCCCTCCGCCACGAACGCTTTATTCCGCGTCGCACCCCCCCCCGCGTCCCCAGCCCCCTCTCCCCCCCCCCCGCGTCCCCAGCCCCCCTCCCCCTCCCCCCGCGTCCCCAGCGCCAGAGTGGGACCCCCAGCGCCCCAGCGGGAACCCGCCCACTGCCCCCTCCGCCACGAACTCTTTATTCTGCGTCGCGACCACCCACCTCCCTCCCCGCGCCCCCGCGCCCCAGGCGGGGCTCCGCCCCGTGCCCCCTCCGCCCCGACAATTTTATTCCGCGTCGCGACGCGCGCCCCCCCCCCCCGTCCCCAGCGCCCCAGTTGGACCCCCGCCCCGTGGCCCTCTGCCCCAAGCCCCGCCCAGTGCCCCCTCCGCCCCGACCATTTTATTCCGCGTCGCGACGCACACCACCTCCCCCCCCTCTCCGCGCCCCCAGCGCCCCAGTGGGACCTCCGCCCCGAGCCCCCTCCGCCCCAAACACGTTATTCCGAGTCGCGACGCACGCCACCTTCCCCCCCCCTCCCCACTTGGGATTTGGGCCCCGTTGCCGGGCCACGACGGGCGATATCTTGCCCCCTCCCTCCTCCACCTCCTCCCCCCTCCTTTTTGCGCAAGAGCCATGGCACACGTGCCACTTGTCTCTTGCACATGATCTTCACAGTTCTGTGCACGTCATGCAGATATCATGTGCTCGAATGCTGGGTCGCGACAGACACGGTCATAGCGAATATTGCAAATCGAAGTTGCCGTTGGTGTTGCGACATATAGTTTGCCGCGCAAGTCGCAACCGGCAGGCGGTCTTTGATCCCACAGGCCACTTAGGAGGAACAGAGAGACAACTCACAGGCGAACGGAATATGCACAGAGAAAAAGTTCGTCTAACAGAGTCATCCAGAAGGCGGCGCGGGCAGACCGC